TACATCTTACCTAGTGACACTGCTTACATGGCATGTCTGCTCCACAGACCAAGACTACTAAATCATTAGGTTTGGGTTTTTCCAGGCATCTGCAGGCTGGACTCAAAATTGTTTAAGTTTACAGCAGGTTCACTTTTAAGTTAGTAAGTTTGTATGGCCTGCAAATGATGTTATAAATAGCCAATTGCCTATGGCAGGAAAGAAAGTCTCCACCACTGGCTTACAGCCCAACTACTGAAGTAGTGACAAGACCCCCTGCAAGCAACCAAAGCTGTTATTTTGATCAAACGCCATGGCTTGTTTCCTTGGGCCCAGTGTAGGGCACCCAGTGCGAATCCTAGGTGTCACTCAAATTGTTCAACAGAGGCAAAGGGGAAAACAACACAGATCTGTCACTACCTCCACCAAAATTAATGGTATCAAAACAGAAGGCCAGATATTACAGGCCTCCTGCTATGATCCACTACCAAATACATAGATTATCTGCCAGGTATTCCTGACACAACTCTTTCACCTGGAATTAATAAAATTTACACTTAAATTCCACTTCATAGAAAATGCAAAATGCTAGCAACATTTATAATTAGAGTACTTGCTACGATGTTTGATTTGTGTGCTCCTTGAACTTTGTGCGTTGAAAGCCCAACCTCAAGAGATGGCATAAGGGTTCTTTGGGGGGGGGGGGGCGCTAGTTATTAGGTTCCTTAGGATTTGCAGACCATCACTCTCTCCTCTGAGAAACTTCAGAACCTGAAAATTCCTATGTTGTTGCTCTCATTTTCCTACTATATGAGTATTTGTTCATGTCAGTCTCTCCTGGTAAATTCTGTAATTGAGGTCATCATCCAAAGCCATATTTTTGTAAACCTGTTTCTAATCCACAACACACCAAACTGCCTGTTTCTAATCCACAACACACCAAACTGCCTCAATGAATACTTGCCTTATGAACTAAGTAAATGCTTCTTCTTTTTCTCTAGCTCCGGTTTTCATGTTCTTTCCTTTTGCAACAGTATCCTGCAATCAAACTAACTTCCTCAGCACCATGGAAGGTACCACTCTACCCAAAGGCTCAACCAGAAAAGTCCCCGAGTAGGACAAGCAGTTTTCCAGTGAATCTTGAGTCTAGGCATCTTTCTAGCACAATCTTACATCCTCCTTGTTAGGATCCGCTAGACAGCTGGAGTACAGACAGCTAATTTCAAACACTTGCTAAAACTGGGAACAAATGAGTAACTCAAAACGATCTGGTGGAATTTACTGCCGAGTATTCTACCAGCCTGGCACCAAATTTTGTAAGTGCCTCACACAGGACATATCAAAATGACAAAACTACACCCTATAAATAATCAGGGCCTTGTACTGCAACATAGAGAGAAAAGCCTCCAGCTGTGATGCTGGCATCCCATTAGAGAGCTGGTTCCTATAAATAACCAACTTGTGTTAACAACTACCAGTGGGGCTTTCTGCATGCTCGAACCCCACTTGGCACAGGCAGTATGCTAGTCTGCACCTCCACATAACCTCTCCCTACTGCCCGTGGGGCTAAAGTCTCACTTCCGGCCCACTGTCCGGACAGGCTATAATCCTACCTCAAATTCTAGCATGCTGCCCTTTCTTCAAATGAAAGTCTTTACTGACTTAACCAGTTCTTTGCACCTTCAGACCCTAAAACCCAAGACCTAATACTCCTGATTCCTACCCCCCAAAATTGCCAAAGGTTTTCATTTTTTTGTTCGTTTGCTAGTTTCTCTGAAGCAGAGAAAGCCCAATCTGCTAGTTCACTCCCAAATATCTATAACACCTGGGGCGGGGTCAGTCCGAAGATGAACTCAATTCAGGTCGCCCACCTGGATGGCAGGGACCCGTCAGAGCCATCCCCTGCTGCCTCCAAGGTGCACATTAGCAGGAAGCAGGGATTAGGACAGTGCCGGCACTGGAACCCAGGCATGCATATAAGGCGGCATCCTAAAGCAGCATTTTAACCGCTAAGCCAAAGCACTACCCATCACAGGCCCGGTCTGGTCTTAATGAGACTGGAACAGGCTTCCCTACTAAAATGTTTCCATCAAATTGTCTCAGATGTCTGGGGCAAAGATTTTACTCTGTAAAGCTTCCTTACACAGCTAATGTTTCTTCAGAGAATAGCTTGAAACACTGCATCTAAAGACTATGGTCCCAAAGCTTACTTAACCTTATCTGGTACTCACTACCATTCAGTAGTCATAGAACACGTTGTCTATGCTGCATTCTGTAGCAGAGCTCTGGAAACACTACCCATCGCATGCCTAACCGGCCTGCCTTGGCCTGTCATCACCAAGGTCTAATGTTGCCACATTTGACAACCACCACGGTGTGGCACAGCTGCCCCTGCTATGCCAGGACTAGTACCTACACACCCACATCTCACAGATCATCCTATAAACTTACCCAGCCCAAGAGCTCTTAGCTTCTTCTCCCAGTTAAAAAAAAACATAAAGAAAATAAAGAAATGCCACCTGTCTGCTTACTGATGTATGGCTCCCAATCTGTGCATCAGCAGCTGTATGGGAGAAAAAAAAATAGTACTTCCTACCCCTGCACTATTGGCACTTTCTGGAATTACAAACTTAATGCTACACAACTGGGGCACAAGGTCTAAGAGAAAGCCTAGCACTTGAACAAAGCAAAAAAGCAAAGACACACCTGTGAAAACTTCAAACAAGATATCAGCAACTCAAGGGATAGCTGAGGGTACCAAGGAGAACCTGAGGAAAATCTTGGGTGGACTATCTCTAGCAACAAAGTGGCTCACCGAACACCACAACTGCTCAACAGCCAGGAATCCAAAGGCAGGAAGTGGATGGAAACATGACAGCACAGGGTGAAAGGGTTTCTGATCCTCCCAGCCGGGGGGGCACCCCTACCTGTGAACTTCTGCGACTTCTCATAGTTGTGATTATCCATCCAGGCTTTATCTCAAAATGCTTATCTTGGCAGCTAAATATCAAACCCCTTGACATTTATAATCTCCTTTTGGGAGGCAGCATAAATGGCATGATCAGTTATGGGTGTGGGCCTTGGAGAAAAGCTACCAGAGCATCTTTCTGCATTTACAAACTGTACAAACCTGAAGAATTTCTTTTCAGCTCAGTCCCATCCCCAGAAAATGGGGCCAGAAACACAACCTATTTCATAGGGCTGGTCATCCCCGCAGAGCACCGAGCTCCACGCCTGGCTCCATGCACTCTGGCCAGCCGTCGCGGCGGCCAGGGCTCCTTCTGTACTCTGTAATCTGTCTACTCAGGAGCAGAACGGTGCATCAACATCACCTGAAGTGTGTTAAAAGGCTTGGGCTCTACACTTGCTGAACCCAAGCTGAGGTTTGGAAGAGCTCTGGTGACGAGCATACACACTGAGGTTAGAGGAACACCACTCTACAACAGACCCGTGCACCTCCGTGGATTTCGGTCATTAAAAGTCCTAGAGGAGTGGGCACTCAATACATGTTACCTCCATTGGGCAGTTCAATTTTGTTCTTTATTTTAAAAGAAGAGTGCTTCACTGAGACAAAGTGTTTACCATCACTATTACTGTAAATATTATGCAGTGATACATAAGTGTATGTGTATATTCTAGATGCTTGCAGAAGTGGTTTGGTGTCTGTGTGGGTCTGTGGTAGGGAGAGATAATCAGTGTTTGGCCTTAGTTTTGGCATTTACAAATTAAGATGATTCTAGAGAAACAACCTCACTACTGTTTAACTTCCAGTGTGTGCTGCGATTTTTGAACAGCAGCTGTTTAAATGATGTTAGTTTACCCTTCCAGTAGAGTGACCTACCTGGAAAAGCAAATGAACACCACAAAACAGCATGGGTAAATACGACTGCTTTTGAAAATTATGTCAGAGCTGAATATGAAAGACAGTTGATTTAAAAGATTTTTGTTAACTTAAAGGACATATAACTCAAGTGAAAGAGAGATCTTCCATTCATTGGTTTACTCTAAACGGTTACAAAGGCCTGGCTGAAGCTAACAGCCTGAACCTCCATCCAGGTTCTCCACAGAGGTGAGGGCCCAAGCACCTCAGGCTATACATGTTGTCTTCTCCAGGGCAATTACCAGGCCCCTGGGTCTCCAACATGTGCTCATTCAGGATGCTAGCACTATAGACCACGGCTGAATCCGGTGTGCTACAATGCCAGCCCCCAAGATCACTTACCAAGTAAACAACTTTATTATTGTTTTTTTTTTCCAACCAGGGCAAGGATAGGTGTCATGAACCTTCTTGAACCAACAGGCAAACGAATCACCACAGATGTCAGAATTCAAAACCTGATTGAGGAGGTCTGGGACAGGGCCCGAGGTTTCTAACAAGCTCCCAGGTGATGCTGATGCTGTGGACTTGCACCTGAGTGGCATACTTAGCCCAAACTTGCCACGAGGAACTAAAACCGAGTTTTCTAACCTCCAATCACCCTATGAGGACACTGCCACCATTCTTTCTGGACGCACCAGAAGCCTAAGCTACGGACAAGTTAACTTTCCCAAGCTCACAGCACTGTCTTCTGACACTATCTCCACTATCGGGCAGCTGGGTCCCGAGCTATCCCTAGCAGCATCTCTGTGGTCCGGGCTCCCGCTCTGACGAACGTGTGCCTGGGGTCGAAGTAAGGATATGTGGCAGGGCAGGAGAAAGTAGCGACCCCGTGCAAGCAGCGCGCAGTGGGCGCGGCGCTCGGGCACAGGGCGCCCCGCAGGCGGCTCGAGGGGGGCGGCCCAGCCCGGGCACAGGTTCTGGGCCGCACGGACCATCGCGGAGACGGGGTGCCAGGCCAGGACTGCGTCGCCCTGAGCCCAGTTCTCAGCTGCCCCGCGGAAGGGCCCACGCACCAAAGGCTGTCTCCCCGACAGCCTACTCCCCTCGGTCGAACGGGAGGCCCCGGAAATGGGGGCCGGGCGGCACCTGGGGGGCCGTGGGGGGACCAACTCCTCGCTGTCTCCCACGCCAGTCCACCCACTTGTCTGCCGCCGCCGTTGCCCTTACCAGCTCTTTGGGCGGCTTCTCCTGGGTTTTGCCAAACAGCCCCATGGCGAACGGAACTCGTCCTGCGCCTTCCGGCGTGCCGCTCCCCGCGCCCAGGCAGGTCCCCGGCAGCCGCTGGGGCGGGGCCGGCCGGGAGCGAAGCCCGGAACGCGGGAGCGGCGGGTGCGGTGCGCGTGCGCAGCACGGGCGGGAGGGGGAGCGGACGGCTTGTTGGGTCAGAGTGACGCCATTGCGCATGCTCGGCGAGGACCTGGAAATACGGAAGTTTCTACTACTCTACGAGACGCTGACTGAATGACTGCGCTTGGCTGGTTACAGCTGAACCTGATCATGTCCTAAGCCCGTATGTGGCTACACCAGAAGTCTGTCTCCACCACTGACGTTCCAAAAGCTTCCCGTTTGTGTTCTGTAGGCATAACACAGGCAACAAGCTAGACAGAACCTCGTCCACCACACCTGTGCCCTGCTTCTCTTTGGCACCACCATCCCCTAGTCACTAAAACCTGGGCGTCATCTGCCTTCTCCTTCCTAAATGGCCAGCCTAAACTTTTCAATAGGTCTAAACTCGTCGGCCCTTTTCCTATCCCACCTGTGAGCGCTTTGGTTCAGGCCATGGTCCCTTCCACCATGGGTGGTTGCACCTGCTATTTGTCCAAAGGTGGATTGGCCTACTATGTGCACTGTCTGTGGCCTTAACCAAATTCGGAAAGGAACGTGACTGAGGACTAGATCCCTTGTTGCTGGGGCTATGTTGGTGTGAACCTCAGACTGCCGTGGCTTCGAATGGTGTGAGGACCCAGCGATTATTGCTACCAGCCTGTACTGCTGCTGCCACTTCTGGTAGCAAGGCATAGTGATGCACTCTGAAAACTTAAGCAATTTTAAAATAGGTATTTTATTCTTGTTAACATATCGTAACTGCACTTATTTGTAGAATCTACTGTGACATGTGAAACCACGCATGTACATCATAACTATATAAGGGTAATTACATAGCTCTCACCTCAGACATTTATCATTTCTTTGTCTTGGAAGCATTCAGAGCAAGCCCTTGATCCTGATTTCAGAAATAAAACTAGTTTTTTTTTTTCAGCCATGGTTATCCTACACTGTTACACAACCATTAGAAGTCCTATGCTATTCTAAGTGAACGTTCATGGGTCAGTGATGTGGCACAGCCCATTAATTCACCACTTGAATCATGGACAGCCTAGGTGGGCACCTGTTAGAGTCCTGGCTACTCCACTTCCAATCCCACTGCATGCTAATGTGCATGGAAAAGCAGTAGAAAGCAACCTTCCTTCCGCCCCTGAACCCACACGGGGGACCTGAAAGAAGCTCCTGGCTTCGGCCTAGCACTGTCCTGGCTGCTGAGGCCAATTGAGGAGTGAACCAGCAGACAGAAAATCTCTTTACCTCTCCTCTTTTTCAGTAAATCTTCCTTTCATATGAATAAATCTCTTTTTTAAAAGAAGTTATTCTTGAGGTGAAAGCACTGGCTCAATAGGCTGATTCTCTGCCTTGCAGTGCCAGCATCCCATGTAGGTGCCAATTCTAGTCCAGGCTGCTTCATTTCTGATCCAGCTCCCTGCTGATGGCCTGAGAAGGCAGCAGAAGATGGGCAAGGTCCTTGGGCACCTACACCCATATGGGAGGTTAGGAAGCAGCTGCTGGCTACAGATCGGCTCAGCTCTGGCCATTGCACTCATTGGGGGAGTGAACCAGCAGATGCAAGATCTCTCTCTGTGTCTTTGAAAATCTTTCCAATAAAAACAAATCTTTTAAAAAGTATTCCTCCCACCATATCTGTGTATCTACTAACCATCCTCTCTCCATCCTGTTTACCCTCATACTCTTCCAGAACTCTGTAACCACTCAATAGTATACTCTTGCTTCTAAAAGTTTTTTTTTAAAGATTTATTTATTTTTATTACAAAGTCAGATATACAGAGAGGAGGAGAGACAGAGAGGAAGATCATCTGCCTGATGATTCACTCCATAAATGAGCGCAACATCTGGTGCTGTGCCGATCCGAAGCCAGGATCCAGGAACCTCCTCCAGGTCTCCCACACAGGTGCAGGGTCCCAAAGCATTGGACCATCCTCGACTGCTTCCCAGGCCACAAGCAGGGAGCTGGATGGGAAGTAGAGCTGCCGGGATTAGAACCGGTGCCCATATGGGATCCCGGGGCGTTCAAGACGAGGACTTTAGCCGCTAGGCCACATCACTAGGCCCTAAAAGCTTTTTTTTTTTTTTTCTTTTTAAGCAAAGTGACGGTGACAGACACACAACGACAGAGAACGATTGATTTTTCATCTCTGGTTCACTGCCCAAATAGCCCCTATGGCTGGGGTTGGTCCAAACTGAAACCAACATCCTGAATTCCATCCAGATCTGCCATGTGCATGGTATAGGCCAAAGCCCTTGGGCCAGCTTCCAGAGCCTTTGGAGACATATTAGTGGGGAGATGAATTAAAAGTAGAGCACCTGTGGCTCAAATATGGGATGTTGGCACTGCAGTTAACAACTTAACCCAATGCACCACAATGCCAGCTCCTACAAGATCAACGTTTTGACATCCACATATGAGAACATGTGGTATTTGTCTTTGTATACCTGCCTTACTTCACTTAACACAATATTTTTCAGTTCCATTCATGTTGCTTCAAATTCCAGCATTTCCTTCTTTTTTATCCCATTCTGTATGTATACATCCCCTTTTTTCATTTGTCTATCAATGGGCTTCTTTTACATCTTGGTTGTTGTGAATATTTCTGTAATAAATGTGGACATACAGATGTTTCTTCAACAACTGGTTTCATTTCCTTGGGAAATATATACCGATGTGGGATTGCTGCATCATTTGATAATCCTATTTCTACTTTATGTTTAATTAATTAGTTAATTTTGACAGAATTAGAGAGAGGGAGAAACAGGGAGAGATCTCCCATCTAATGGTTTATTCTGCAGATGGCCACAATGACTGGCACTGAGCAAAGCCAAAGTTAGAAGCCAGGAGCTTCTTCCTGGTCTTCTGTGTCAATGGCAGGAGCTCAAATACTTGAGTCATCTTCCACTGCCTTCCCAGGACATTAGCAGAAATGTAGGGACACTGTCCTACTCTCCCACATGGGTGGCAAGAGCCCATATACTTGGGTTGCTGCTTTCCCAGGTACATTAGCAGGAAGCTAGATTGAAAGTACAGCATCTATTCTTGCTTTTAAAGATTTGTTTATTTATTTGAAATAAATGGAGAGAAGGGAGAGAGAGACACACACAAAGAGAAAGAGAGAAAGATCTTCCATCTGGTGGTTTACTCCCAAAATGGCTACAAAAGCTGGAATTGGGCCAGTCTGAAGCCACACACCAAGAGCTTCTTCCAGGTCTCTTACTGGAGCCATCCTCCACTGCTTTCACTGGCCATAAGCAGGAAGCTGGATTGGAAGTAGAGCAGCCAGGACTCAAGTCAGTGGTCATATGGGATGCCAACATTGCAGACAGTAGGTTAACGTGCTACATCATAGCATCAGCCTCTATTTCTGTTTTCTCAAGGTACAACTGTATTATTTTCCATAATGGCTGTATTAATTTACATTCCACCAATTGTGTAGGAAAATTCTCTTTCTTTATATCCTTTCCAGAATTTCTTACTTTTTTTTCATAATGGTCATTCCAGTGGAGGTGAACAAGAATCTCATTGTGGTAATCATTTGCATTTTGCTAATGATTAGTGATGCTGAAAATTTTTCATATACTTAGCTTTCTATAAGTCCTTTTTGAGAAGTGTCTATATCAGATCATCCTCCATTTGAAAATATTTGTGTTTTTTGCCATAGAGGTGTTTGAGTTTCCTTAAACATCCTGGGTATTAAAGTTTGGTGAAATGAATAGCTTGCAAATATTTTCTTCTATTCTGTAGGTTGTCTCTTAAGTCTGTTCATTGCTTCTTTTGCTTCTTTAAAAAAAAAGATTTATTTATTTTTATTGGAAAGGCAGATATACAGAGAGGAGCAGAGACAAAGAGGAAGATCTTCCATCCGATGATTCATTCACAAGTGACCAAAATGGCCAGTGCTGAGCCAATCAGGAGCCAGGAGCTCTTCTGGGTTCAGGGTCCCAAAGCTTTGGGCTGTCCTTGACTGCCTTCCGGGGCCACGGGCAGGGAGCTAGAAGGGAAGCAAGGCTGCCAGGATTAGAACTTGCGCCCATATGGGATCCCGGGCGTGCAAGGCAAGGACCTTTAACCACTTGCGCCACTGCGCCAGGCCCTATTTTGCTTCTTAAATAGGTTTTTAATTTAATGAAGTATCATTGATCAATTTTTGCCTGTTCTTTTCAAATCCTAATTTTAAAAAAATCTGTCAAGACCAATACCCTGAAGCACTTTTCCAATGTTGTCTTCCAGTAAATTCATAGTAACATTGAAGTCTGTTTCATTTTGAATTGATTTTTTTTCAGTATAAGAGATAAGGTATAGCTTCAGTGGAAATTTTATAAAATGTGAGACATACATCTATCTTATGATGCAGCCATTCCACTTCTGGCTATATATCCTAAAGGGAGAAAACTGTACAGCTTGCAAATATTCACTTGAACTTTATTTCTAATAGCCAAACTGGAAATAATTCCAATACCCATAACAAGTGAATAAACCAGTTGTGGTACATCCAGCCAGTGGAATACTACTCTGCAACTAAAACGAACAAAGTATTGATATCTGCAACAGCATGTATGAATCTCACACTAATTATGCTGAGTGAAAAATGTAAGGAACAAAAGAGTATTTAGTATATGATTCCATTTATACAATATTTTAGAAAGTGAAACCTAATCTATAGTGACAGAAAAGATATCAGCTGTTGCTCAGGGTTGGCAAAAGGAATCAGAAAAAGGCAGAAAGGGGAATTAAAAAGAAACACAAAGAAATCATGGGAATGATGGATGTAATTGTGATTGTGATGGTTTCACTGATGGAGACTCACAATGACAAATTTGTGAAATTATATACTTTGCGTGCAGTTTATGTCAGTCACACTTCAATGTAAAATTATTTCCTTTAAATAGCAATACACTCAGCGTGAAAAGCAAAACCTCCACTTCCACTTTCTCAGGGCTTCATAGGTTTCACAT